TAGGGTTTAGGGTTTGAGGTTAGGGGCCTTGGCGACGGCTGGTTCAGTGCGTAATGGCACATTCTGCACCTAGAGAGGTAAGTTGGGTTCTCTGCGTGACCCTCAAAGCTGTTCAGAACCCAGTTCCAACGCAAACAGCTACAAAACCCTTAACCCTAAACCCTATAAACACGTTACCACAATGTTACAAACCAAAGAAGCGTTGTTTCAGAAACCCGCTGCCTCGCCGCAGGAAGTGCTCGAGGTCCTCTGACGAAACGGTCTCTGTGTGACCGGCAGATACACCATCCTTTTGGGGTTTAGGGCTTCAGGGTTTAAGGTTTAGGGTTTAGGGTTTAGGGTTTAGGGGTTTAGGGTTTAGAGTTTAGGGTTTAAACCCTAAGCCCTAAGCCGTGAATGCTCCTAAGAGGCCTTCTAGAAACTTCTACTTTCAAAAGAGACGTCAGAGGAACCGTTGTAGGAAGCCGGGGGACCCTAAACCCTCAACCCCTAAACGGCTTAAGTTGCAGTTTAGGGCTTAGGGTTTAGGGTTTAGGGTTTAGGGTGCAGGTCTCGTACAAGCACCTCGATTCCGAATTTCCGGCTTTCTCTGCCTTTATAGTCTAGGTTCCCCAGTATCCCAGAGGGCGAGAACCCTGCACCCTAAAAGCCCGATAAATTAATCCACGGTTTAGGGTTCAGGGTTTAGGGAGTTTGCGGTGCTTGCTTCGAAGCTCTGCACAGATGCGGTGGTGTTTAGACACATCTAAGCTGCAGAATATGCAGGGGGGCGCGCACATTTCGCAAAAGGTGCCGGGGTACAGACAGTGTGGGGCGGAGAGCTCGAAGAAGTTCACCCAGGTTTCAGGAGTATCTTGCGCCCAGGAATGAGGAAAGTACAGGCCTTCACGAATGCTGGAAGGCTGGATTCAACTGAATGATGCTGAATCAAGATAAGCCTCCAAATGACCCCTAAACCCTCTAAAATGGAGCAAGAAGCAGCACTTAACAAGGTCCAAGCCACGATCTTGCACATTCCGGAGTTTGCAGCACGCTGCAAGCTGATCGATAAAACCCCCACCAATCTTTCCTACTGCATTCTGTTGTTCTGGTCGTGCCGATATAGGTCTACAATGCTGAGGGCACAGCGAGTTAAGAACTCCAAATTAAGAGTCGAGGACAAAGCTTTAGCGGCTTTTGGGTGTGTTGTCGGGGTTTCGCGAAGCTTGGTATAAACCCTAAACCCTAAACCCTAAACCGCGTTTAGGGTTTAGGGTTTAGGGTTTGTAAGAACTGAACCGTGGTTCTCAATGTAGACGGAACTATGAAGGACCTAAAGCAACTCGCTCGGGTGCCGAGTGCGGGTGAGCCTGTAAAGGTCCTTGGGATAGTGCCCGGAGACTCCAATATCCCTTAATTAAGGAATATACCTTAAATCATACTAAGAAGGAATATTCCTTAATTAGGGTGAGCTGCCCTCAAAGTGACGCGGGGCCTTATTCACGAGAAGAGGGTTTCGGGGTGCATTATAAACTATGTTTAGGGGAGTTCTATCAGGATGCTATGACTGACTACTCTGCTCACCCGGCTCGCACCACAACCAGTAGGTTTCTAGCCGTGCTCCAGCAGCTCCGGTTGAGAAACGACAGCCGGATTTGACTTCGGGGGTTCGAGGGTCTTCGGCTTTAGGGGGCTTCGGGCTTCCGGGGTTGAGTTTCAACGGCTTGTCAAGGGTCAAGCGGCTTCGGGTTTTGGGTTTAGGGATTTTGGAACTTGGGTGTTGAGCATAGTGCAACTCTGTCTGCTTGAATGCTTTCAGTAGTTTAGTAGGGTTTAGTGCTGTAGGGATAAAGTCAAAGGCTTGCTTCGATTTGGGAAATCCTTCTTGCAGCAAGCTCCGAACCAAAAACGATGTACTTTAATCATTGACTGGGTCTCGGGCTCACAGACGGAAATTTTAGGTTCATGCGTGGTCACTGTGGGAAAGATAATTTGTCCTTTCGGGTCTAGATGAAGCGTGTCGGCCGCGGTTCTCAACGTGTGAGAGGGAGAGGCCGAGGAATTGTCTGCGTTGGGTAAATATGTTCTAAAGCACTGCTGGCAGATCCGGTGCACCCGTAGCCGGCAATCACCACAGGCCAACGTTTTTGAGCTGGGGATGATGGGGGAAGGGTGCAAAGTTTGGACATACCCTGAAACTGAAACTGTGAAATTACTCTGCATGTTCTATACAAACACAGACATACATTTATACACAGATATTTGCAGATATGCATATTTGCATACACAAACACATTCATCCTTACATTGCATTGCGTTACACTACATTAAATTACATTACATTACATTACATTACATTACATTACATTACATTACATTACATTACATTGCATTACATTACATTACATTACATTACATGACATTACATTACATTACATCACAGTACAATACAATACATTACAATGCATTACATTGCATCACAGTACATTACAGTACATTACATTACATTACCTTAC